GTGGGGGGCTCGCCCCCCGCCACTGCCACCGGACCACCGGCTGCGCGCAGCTCGTGGCACTGCTGCTGCACCCAGCGCGGTGGCAGGGTTGAGCCCTCCCAGGTTTATGCACGCCCCTCTCCGCGTGAGAAGGTGAAGGGATCGACCGTGGAGCCGGAGCACCCACTCCCCCGGGAATGCCACCCGGCCCCATGTCCACCCCTGCCGGGCTCTCCAGTAAGGATGGATCCAGACCAGCAACGTGCCCCAGGTCACTGCGAAACGAGGGTTGGACATGGCCCCCAGCTCCCAACCCCGCTCCAAGAGCGATAGCCCCGTTGCAGAAACACCAAAAAAATAACAAAAAAGTCGGTGCTATCTGGGTTTTCCCATCGATAAAGACCAGAAGCGGCAAAGACAGAGGAGAGAAGTGAGCACGGCAGCCAAAAGGAGGCGGCGCAGCTCGACACCGTCTACTTCAGCGCACAATTTACAAGGTCTCTTTTATCAGATTTGCAGCTCAGGATCTCAACCAGCCACCGAGGCTGCTTCCTAATAATTCAATATTTATGTAAATAGCAACTTTCGCTCCTGGAGCAAGTCTGGCCCTGAATTTTGCATGAATAATGGCAGCGCCGTGTCCGTGAGGAGACAGGATCTCCAAACGACTCCGATTATGAAATGATGTCACATATGCAGATGGGTAATGATTTTATCTTAAGATGGGAAAATGGGTTTTCCAGGGCTGGGTTCATGCTCCATTTTCATTACTAGATAAACATAATATTTTTTTTAAGGCAGGGCAACGAGGAATAGATGGACACATGTCCTCAACCCGCACAAGCAGAGCGGGCTCCTCGCGACCGGGCTTTCAGCCCTGCGTTGAGCCGATCCTGTTTATGTGCACGTTTGTAGACCCAGACGATGCCGTGGCTCTGCCTGCAGCTCCTCCCCGCTGGGCAGGGAACTCTCCTACGCCACTTGCAGCATCAAAACACAGGCAGCGGCTCTTCCCCAATGGGTTTCAAGTCTTGATAGCGACTCCGTGAGGGATGGAGCCAGCACGGGGCAGGACAGCCAGGGTGACTCTCCAAGGTCACCCCGGCGCGGACCAGTGCCCGCTGCGAGCGCCAGCCCAGGGAGCGACGCTGCTGCGCCCCGGGAAGCCTCCGAGGCCACGGGCTCACCACGGGGGGACCCTGCTCTTGGCAGCACCATGGGCTCTGCCACCGGGACCACGGCTCTGGCAGCTCGGAGCAGCAGGACAGGCTCTGGCCCTGGTGCAGTCATGGTGGGGGACAGAGGGGCAGGGAAGGCTCCCCACGGGGGGACCCTGCTCTCGGCAGCACCGTGGGCTCTGCCACCGGGACCACGGCTCTGGCAGCTCGGAGCAGCAGGACAGGCTCTGGCCCTGGTGCAGTCATGGTGGGGGACAGAGGGGCCGGGCCATCCCTCCCTCACAGCCTCCCCCACCAGCCTGCTGCCG